GTTCGAGACAGATCCATTAGCAGATAGAACACAAATTCCTCTGTGATCCTTCTGTGCAAATGTGAGTATCTTCCCAGCAACATCCTGAACAAAATTAAAATAAATAAATTACATAAAATCTTAAAGGTCCATTAAGATTAGGGAGAGAAAACATCATTTATTTTATTTAATTATTCTTTTTTTTTTGTTGGAGCTGACTAAAGTTGTGATTTTTTTTACCTCTCCAGCATGTACAGTCACCACATGGGGTGTGAAGTCACCTCCTGCTGTGTTTGCAAGCAATTCACCTGTACAAGTGAATAGCAAACAAACCATATAGACTAAATTTTTACAGGGATATTCTACGGTTCCGTTGCGTAACCATTCCGTCGGGGTTTGTAACCGTTATATCAACTATCCACGACGGTTACACAACCCGACGAAATGCTTCCGTAACGGGACTGTAGCATTTCCCATTTTTACAATATAATAATAATAATAACAACAATACACAATACACCTGAAAAAAAAAATGCATATTTTCACTATCTAATGGCATGATTCTATTTATGTTATTTTTTAAAGTATGGCATTCATCTACTGAGTGTTTGCTAAGATCTATATGAAAAGGGACCAATCTACCTGAAGATTAAGTTAAAGTTAAATTAGCTTAGTCAAAATTAAGATTATTACAACCTAATATCAAATTTTCATGGCTATTAAGCTTTACAACAGAGTCAGCTTTGAGTTTTGACCTCTCCAAATCTGACCTCTCACTAAAAGTCACAGAACACAAGAAAATTTTGTTAAAAAATAAAGAAGGATTGACAGTAACTGAGCTGTAATTGCAAGTAAAGCTACACTGAACTGTGAATAAAGTAGAGTTGAAGGAGAAAAATGCAAAAGAATGAAAAATAAATAAAGGAAGGCATTGAGTAGCCTTAGTAGGGTTGTAGCTTTTACCCAAAGAAGCCATAGCATTAGCCGGCCAGCTTGTCGGCCTAGAATGATGCTTGCCGCGCCCCCTTTTCCGGCCGCCGGAGTTCTCGTACGACGGCGGGGTTGACAGGGTGAACCCAGTCTGCGGCGGCGGCGGCGCCAAAGGAGACGACTTTATCTTTATGTACGCCGGGTTCAAGTTCCCCTCCGCGTCGTACTTTCTTGGCCTCCCCCTCTTCTTCCTCCCCGTCGACAAATCGCTGCTTCCGCCGCCGCCGGAGCCACCGCTCACTAAGCCGCCCCCTCCGCCAACTCCGAAAACCCCACCACCAGCCTCCGCCGCGGGAGGGCCCGCAGCCGCAGCCGCCGCCGCCGCGGTTGCTTGCTCCACGCTTATGTTCACGTTTATCAGCCCATGAACAGAGCCGCCTCCGCCGCCGGAAGCAACGGCGCCGTGGTCGGCGTAGTCCCCGACGCCGCTCAACGGCGGCGACTCGGATTCCGGGTTGCCGCTAAGCGAACCCGAATCCGTGCTCTCCCTGTCCTCCATCTCCATGACCCTTTTCTAACCGAGCCTGTAAAGATCTCGTTTTTCCGGCGAACGAAAGTCAAAAATTGAAAAAAAAAAAAATTAAAAATAACAAGAACAATTTGGAAAGATTTGAGGGTTCTAAAAAATGGCGCCAGAAATTTTCAGGTCTTGTTTGCTCTTTAATTTCAATAATTTTTAGCTTTATTTTGTCTGTGTGTGAAAGTTTTGTAAAGTTCCCTCCATTAATGGGACTGCAAAAAAGCTCTGAAGAAGAAAATGAAAATAAAAAAATAATAATAATATTTGTCCTTTTCCGATTTTTTTTCCTGAGAGGTTTGGTGGTGTAAAATGTAAATCGCTATATAAAAGTGAAGATATTATTATTTTTATTAATTTATAGAATAAATAAATATTTGCACGTTATTGGATATTTATCAAATTAATTAAAATAAAATAATTGCAGTGATTTGATTGCTAAACGTGGAGATTACGACGTATATTTGAATATGTATCTTCAGTAAAAAATCTGTTATTGTTTAAATGTTTATTTATTTATTTCTTGTCTTTTACCTAACGCATGCTGATATAATTATTATAAATGTTCAAAATAATTGAGATTTTTTTTTTGGCAATATTTTTAATAACGTAAATCGAAAGAGATTGTTTTTTATTATTATTATTTGGATGTATTTATTCAACGTTATTGTAGACCAAATATTGGATCAAATGGAAATATCGAATCGTATCTAAATCATATAAAAAAAACAATTCCATAAATGAAGAAATTTGAAAGAGTGAAATTAAAAACAAAATAATCTTAAATTAAAAACTTAACATTTACAATTAATGTGTGTGTTTTTTTTTCAATTTCATTGGTAAATTAAAACTTTAATGAATATAATTTGGGTGTGATTGAATATGAATTTGGTAGGAAAAAAAACTAATTATTTTTAACTCAAAATTTTTTTATCTAAACCTTTAGCTCACCCGCCTTATCCTCAATATTATCAATATAATTGGATAATATAACTCAATTATTCTTACCCATTATATCAATTTTATTTCATTATTCATCCACTCACATACTTTTAACTAATCATTAGTTTACACCATATTTCTCTTAATTTTATATCAAATTGACTTTTATTATTTTTAAATACTAGTTTAATATAAACTCAAAATTTCACTTACACTAATAATACCACATTTCTAAAAATTAACTATAGTTAACAGAAAAATCATTCAAAATCAAATATGAATTCAATCACAACCTTATACACTCTGGTAGTGTCAAACAAACCCCATATGTGTGTGACTGTGCATGGGACAAATATATTAGATAAGTTATTTTCACAGCCATGTTCGTTTAAGTCTAAAAAGTAATACAGTTATTACATATTTTCTACCTCTTTTAATCAATGCTAAGTCTAAAAAACACTAAGGTTATAAGCTTCTTTCCACGTCTTTTAACCAGCGTTGTTTTTTAGCTAAAACATTAAATATGAGCATGTTAGCGCTAGATTGTAAAATAATTAATATATTATCTAATTAAAACATTTATACTAAGAAAAATTTAATTTTATCATAAAAATTTATCCCTTGGTATGAAAAAATAACAGTTTTACTTATTTTTGTTCATTGTATACTATTTCGTTATTATTTTATTATGTAATAAAAAATAATATTGTTAAATAGTATAGTAGAATTGTTATAAAATTATATGAATTATGTTTTTTACAATATGGATTTCATATTTTTTATGATTTGATAATAACTATAATATATTCTTAATGATATAATAAAATGAAGTACTTATGTACATAATACTATAGATTTATTCCTTAATATTAAGTTATTAAATTACGTAGTATATGATTCACTAATATGTAATATGTCTCTATTTATATTGAAAATAATTATGCGATTCAGTAGAGATGACAATTACCTATAAATTATTTCATTTAAGGAATAACTTTTAAATTTGTCAAAGTGTTGAATGCATCCCGATTTTCTTATAACTAAAATGAGAAGATATTTATAATTTCAAATTTTCACTTCAAAACCACACGTATATTTGGATGCAGATTTTATTAAAAACGAATTCAACGAAATATGTAATTTTATGAGCATTTAATGCTACCCTATTTTATGATTTAAAAAATCCAAAACTTTCTAAATATGATGTGCGATTAATTATGAGTTGATTTTTTTTCCTTAGTAAATGAGATGACTTTTTATAGAAGTAAATTATATGATAAAATTATACTAGTATTTCGAGTTCATATTAATTTTAATTTGTATCCCGATCAAATATAAATTTTAAAATTGTAAAACAACTTATTAAGTAAAATTACAAAAATATTGTGGAAATTAACAACTTTCGTATTCATTAAGAAAGTTTCATATATGATATATTAAAACAATTATCACTATGACGAGTTACAATTTTATATTTTATATTGCATACGAACAAATATATATTTACCTTTTAATAACGATTAGATTATTTATCTCCTTAATAAAAATAATAACATTGTTTATCAATTAAATAAAGTTATTTGTCAGGTCCTATTTATAATGTGAGCTCAAAAAATATATTTTAAATTATGAGGAGTAAATTGTACAAGTGATGGTTGCTGTGTTTTAAATATAATTAAATAATAACATAATTTTGTTAAGATTTTTTTAAACCTACAAAGACAAAATCTCTTTAAATTAGTACTACACAAGTTTGTTGTTTTTTATTAGTAATAAATTTATAGACAAATATGTAAGTAATAATAATTTATGTTTATCATATAAGAATACAAATAGAGAACGTTAGATGAGTGAATTATGCAATTTTTAAAATACATTTTCTATAACACTCTTCAATATTTATTTTCATACTAAAAAAGCCTCTTAAGTATCATTTTATTTACTCGATTAGTCCGTTATACATTTTTAACACATATACATACTAAAATGTCATATACATTTAAAAACAACATAAATAATAGTATGATTTTCATAATATAAGTAATTTGTTGAAAAATATTGACGAGTCAACATTTATAATAGCTAGGTGGGCTTATATAAAAAAATTGTAATATAAGCACGCCATGTTTGATTAGTGCTGCAGATAATTTAAATAAAATTTACATATAAATAAATATAATTGATAGCAACATACTCAATAAACCTCTTTAACCTTTTTTTCTCGATTTTCCGTTACTTTTGTATTAGTTAAGTACTTATATTTTTTTTTATTTACATTATCCCCCTACCCCCCTATATACATATATATTAATTCAGAACGTGTTGAGTCTAAGTGGCATGCTCGCATGTTTTAGAATCTTATGTGTCAAAATTACATGGTTTGTTATTACACTTGGATAAATTTTAATTTACCTTTAATCAAAAAATAATTAGATTCGAATTACCATAAATATGTTGTTTTATTTATGATCATTTTAAATGTATTAATTATATTTTAATATCATTTTTTATTATAACTATATTGAATTGTAAATTTATTTTAGAATTTGATAACTTTTGTATTTCTTATCGGTTTTACATATATAATATATCAAATTAATCATTTTTCGATGAGCTTCGATTTGACATCCATATTGTATATATAAAATATATATATATAATATTTATCTTTATAATAATAATAAAAATGTTCATTAAAATTAATTAGAAAAATAAAATTATTTCTCAATTAATATATTTATGTTTACTGTAGTTATATGCTATAAGTTAGAAAAATTACTATAATATAACACAAGTATGTCGCACAAGTAACAAGTGTCATACTAAAATATATAATAATCTATATTATTTTAAAGTATTTAATTTTCAACAATTCTCATTAATTTTAAATTGTAAGAAAAAAATTTAACAAGCACCCGTGTAATACACGGGCGTTGTACTAGTTATATAACTACTACTAATAAATCGTAAAATCATATTAAATGATATTTTAAGCTATTTTTTTTTTTCAAACTATTTTTTAAAATTATTATTATTATTTTTTTGTTTTAACTTATTAAGCAAGTTTTCTTGTTAACATCAATTAATTATTTTCTTATGATATAATCAAACTTTTTAAAATTATGTACACAATTGTATAATAATAGTTTCAATATTGTTTTATCTAATAATTGTTTAATAAAAAAATAAAAAATTATATTATTGCAATCAATATAAAGATTAAATGTGTAAGTTAATAGTTTACATTTGTATGGTTCATTTTTACTAATGATAAAACTTATAAAATATGATATGTTCATTAGTTAATAGTTTACATTAGTATTAAATACACACATATAACATATAAAATTTTATTTGTATATGTGCATGTACACATGATCGAATACTAGTTAAAGTAAAGATTCTGTATACAAAATTTTTGCTTATTAAGTTTCAATCATAATTTTTAAACCCGGCCCGAGAATCGATCCGGGCAAGTCTCCGGGTCACCGGGTCACCGGATCAATTGTTGAACCAAATAATTTTTAAAATTTTTAAAATTATATATAGAGTATTTTGTCATACAAATATACATAAAAATAACAAAATTAAATATTTTGTATATAAAATTTGTACACTAAAGTGTTAATAATATATATTTAGTGATAAATATTTACCATATAAGTGTATATATAGTTATATACATATTTTTATTTTTTAAAAACAACAGACTATTTAATAAAAAATAAAAAATATATATTGGGGCCAGGTCAACCGAGTCAATGAGCCGGTCGATCGGGTCAAGCCCAGGTTGGCCGGGTTTTGACCGGGTTTGACCGGATTCGTTGTTGCCCAGTCCAATTAGCCTACCTGGATCGCAGTCCCGGGCCAACCCGCCGGGCCGGTCCAGGTCTCAAAACTATGGTTTCAATAATCACACTAATAATTTTAAAATTTCAAACCCCAATCCAGCAAATAAAATTTGAATCATACAAATGAATTCAAAATTCAAATCCATTTAGAAGTAAATTGTTAGTGGTGAATTTTAAATGCACACAATAAAAGTT